TCACACCTCGTCACAGAATCACTCACCCGCTGAATGGAGTCAGCAGAAGAAGACATGCCTGGAGTTGTAGCAAGGTTCCAGGAGCATTCCTCGATGCTGGCCAGCTTGGGGGAAGCGATGGATCGGGTTCTTCAGGTAGTACAACGCCTGGAGAAGAGAGGACCCGATCTATCGAGGCCAGCTGGTCAACCGAATCCAGCCACCTACACCTCAGCCCCTGGAGGGATCCAGATATCCCGGCCACCGGTGTTTGATGGGACGGCAGTGCGATGTAAGGGATTTCTGCTCCAACTAGAGTTGTATTTCTCCAGCATTAGGCCAGCGCCACTGGAGCGGGAGAAGGTATCCATCCTCATTTCCTGCCTTTGTGGGAGAGCCCTGGAGTGGGCCAACGCGGTGTGGAACGAGGGAGGTGCGGCGTTGGAGGACTACGGGAGTTTGCTCGCCTCTTTCGGGCCGTTTTCGATCACCCGCCTGAGGGTCGAGAGGCGGGCGAACGACTGGTCCATCTGAGGCAGGGGACGAGGACCGCACAGGACTACACGCTGGAGTTTCGGACGCTGGCAGTGGGGTCCGGGTGGAACGATCGGGCCCTGATCGACCATTTCCGGTGCCACCTAAGGGAGGACGCCCGACGGGAGCTAGCCTGCCGTGATTCCATGCTATCTTTCTCCCAACTGGCTGAACAATCTGCTAGCAGCCAGAGGACGTCCTGGTAGGGGTCTGCCCGTTCCCACTCCGGACGACTCTGACCCCGAGCAGATGGAGCTGGGGGGAGCCGCCGGTCGAGAGAGCACAGGAGGACAGCGACAGTGCCACTCTGGTGGCACGAAGGGACAATCCACCTCACGTCGCAGTCAACGTTCCTTTGGGTCTGGAGGCGGTAGGCAGGGTACTCACGCATCACCCCAGGTAACGAACATCCAAACTTGTTCAGAGCCCTTTGCGGTGCACTGTACCTTATCTATCTCCTTTCCCGATCACCTGGTAGTTTCCCAGTGTAAGGCGCTAGTCGATTCAGGCGCAGCTGGGAACTTTATGGACAGGGCATTTGCACGCCGTCAAGGCATTTAATCGGTTCCCCTATCCATTCCATTCCCCATCAGAGCACTTGATAGTCGACCATTAGGTTCCGGGTTGGTTAAGGAGGTTACTGTACCAGTCACCATGATTTCACAGGAGACGCATGTTGAGCAGATCACTTTTTTGATTATTGATTCTCCTGCTTACCCTGTAGTCTTAGGTATTCCATGGTTATCCCTTCAGAACCCCACATTTTCATGGCCGCAGAGGGTTCTTACGGGGTGGTCGCATGAGTGTCAGGGTAGGTGTCTAGGTGTTTCCTTTAGTGCGCCAGACGGTACCCCCACCATGCACATTCCCCCTGAATACCATGATCTGGCGCTCGCGTTTTCCAAGACGCAAGCGACTAAATTACCACCATCTTCGGGAGGGGGATTGCGCGATAAACCTTCGGGTAGACGCTTTACCTCCCAGGAGTTATGTGTATCCCCTGTCGCAGGCTGAAACGGAGGCTATGGAAACATACGTCACCGAGTCACTGCACCAGGGATATATACGTCCCTCCACTTCACCTGTTTCCTCAAGTTTCTTCTTTGTGAAGAAGAAAGATTGCGGTTTACGCCCGTGCATTGATTATCGACCACTGAATAAGGTGACGGTACGGTTTAGTTATCCTCTTCCCCTCATTCCTTCAGTGATTGAGTCAATGCCTGGGGCCCGTTTTTTCACCAAATTAGACCTCAGGAGTGCCTACAACCTGGTGTGTATTCGGGAAGGGGATGATTGGAAAACGGCATTCAGCACAACCTTGGGGCATTATGAATACCTGGTGATGCCCTACGGTTTGATGAATGCTCCATCCGTTTTCCAGTCCTTTGTGAACTAGGTGTTTTGGGACATGCTTGGTCGCGGTGTGGTGGTCTACATCGATGACATCCTGGTGTATTCCACTACGCGCGCCAAGCATGTGTCCCTGGTTTGCAAGGTACTGGTCCGACTGCTGGAGAATGATCTTTATGCCAAGGCAGAGAAGTGTGAGTTTTTCCAGCAGTCAATCGCATTTCAGCCGTGCGTAATTGGCTGACTCCAACCATGGTGAAGGAGGTGCAGCGCTTCCTTGGCTTTGCCAACTACCATCGGAGGTTTATTCAGGGCTTTGGCAAGGTCGCAGCTCCCATTACCTCCCTGTTGAAGGGTGGGCCGTCCCGGCTCCGCTGGTCTACTGAGGCTGATTTGGCCTTCAGTAGATTGCGGGGTCTGTTCACCTCAGCCCCGGTACTGGCTCACCCCGATTCATCACTACCGTTCATAGTGGAGGTGGATGCGTCCGAGGTAGCGATAGGCGCTGTCTTATCCCAACACTCGGGCACGCCACCCAAGCTCCGTCCCGTGCCTTCTTTTTCAAAGAAGCTCAGCTCGGTGGAGCAGAACTACGGTGTTGGTGATCGGGAGTTGTTGGCTGTTGTCCGAGCTTTGACGGTGTGGAGGCATTGGCTCGAAGGGGCGAAACACCCTTTCCTCGTCTGGACAGACCACCGTAACCTGGAGTACATTCGGGCAGCGAGTAGGCTGAATCCTCGCCAGGCCAGGTGGGCCCTCTTCTTCATCCGGTTTGATTTCACACTCTCATACATTCCGGGTACGAAGAACGTGAAGGCAGACGCGTCTCGGCTGTATGACACAGAGGAGAGGCCCAGAGACAACACCCCCATACTCCCGGCCTCATGCATTGTGGCGCCGGTAGTATGTGCAATGGACGCGGATATAGCGCAGGCATTACACACAGATCCATCTCAACCGCAGTGTCCAGCTGGGCTGCAGTACATGCCTGCGCTTATACGTGATCGTATGATCTACTGGGCACACACGTCACCCTCCTCTGGTCATCCAGGTATCGGTCGTACAATGCGCTACCTGACCGAGAAGTACTGGTGGCCTACCTTGGCTAAGGACGTGAGGGTGTATGTTTCCTCCTGCTCAGTGTGCGCCCAGAGTAAAGCACCTAGGCACCTCCCAGTGGGTAAGCTACAACCTTTACCAGTTCCACAACGACCATGGTCTCACCTTAGTAATGATTTTCTTACTGATCTTCCCCTCTCCCAAGGTAACACCACTATCCTGGTTGTTGTGGATCGCTTTTCGAAGTCCTGCCGCCTCCTTCCTCTGCCCGGTCTCCCCACGGCCCTACAAACTGCGGAGGCTCTGTTTACTCACGTTTTCCGGCACTACTGGGTACCAGAGGATATAGTGTGCGACCGAGGGCCCCAGTTCACATCTAGAGTCTGGAACGTCTGGGGGTCTCGGTCAGCCTGACCTCTGGATTTGACCCCGAGAGTAATGGGCAGGTGGAAAGGGTGAATCAAGATGTGGGTAGGTTCCTGCGGACCTACTGTCAGGACCGGCAGGGGGAGTGGTCGGCGTTCCTGCCATGGGCAGAATGCGCTCAGAACTCTCTCCGCCACTCCTCCACTAACCTAACACCCTTCCAATGTGTTTTGGTTTACCAACCGGTCCTGGCACCAGAGCCAGACCGAGGCTCCTGCGGTGGATGACTGGTTTCGGGATGCGGAGGAGACTTGGGACGCTGCCCACGTTTGCCTCCAGCACGCCGTGTGTCGTCAGAAGGCGAACGCTGACCGCCACCGCAGGGAGGCCCCGGTTTTCGTACCGGGGTATCGGGTCTGGCTCTCGACCCGGAATCTACCCTTCTGCCTGACCTGCCGGAAGCTGAGCCCACGGTTTGTGGCGCCGTTTAAAGTCCTGAGGAGGATAAACAAGGTTACATACAGGTTGTTACTCCCCCCTGATTACCGTATTAACCCCTCGTTTTATGTGTCTCTCCTCAGGCTGGTGGTAGCTGGTCCACTCCAGGAGTCTGAGGTGCGGGAGGTTCCTCCACCTCTTTGGACATCGAGGGGGCCCCGGCGTACTCGGTCCGTTCCATACTGGATTCGAGGCGTCGGGTGGGAGGCCTTCAGTATCTCATGGAGTGGGAGGGGTACGGTCTGGAGGAACGGTGCTGGGTCCCAAGGAGGGACATCCTCGATCCTTCCCTGTTGAGGGATTTCCACCGTCGCCATCCGACTCGCCCTGCCCGTCACCGAGGCCGGGGTGGGCGCACTGCTGGAGCCGCGCGTCAAGGGGGGGGTACTGTCACGACTTCCGCCGAAGCTGCCTCCCCTCCTTGTTCGGGCAGGTTTTGGCCTTCGTCGTCACCGGCTTACTAGCTACTGCTGATCCCATTCTCATCACTCCACTTGTCATGTCTTGTCAATCACACACACCTGGTGCTCATTCCCCTAATTAGTATGTGTATAAGTGTTCCCTCTGTTCCCCTGGTCTTTGAGTGATTGTTTCATTGTGAGAGCGAGTAGCTCGGTTGAGCTACTCTTCCATTTGTTATTGCCAAGGTGGAATATTTCCCTTGTGATAGTTTCGTTTTGACGCTGGGTGCGTTTTATTTATGTAAACGGAATAAACTCTGGAATTCGGTGTTTTACCTCCTGCGCCTGACTCCTTCATTCACACCTCGTCACAGTTACTCAAATCATTCATTGAGGGGTCTGCTCGTAAAGTAATTTCAGGATCAGTTCATAGCCCATTGTATTATTAGCCTCATTTCTAGATTTTTTTTCTTACTGCTATCATTCCATGATTACAATGTTTGCATCATCCATTTCTTACGTCAAGTTCTTCGAAGTTCCAGCTTCTATAAAACTCATGTATGGCAGCAATGGAGATGGAGTTGCCTGCATTGAGAGTATATTATGCTCTAAGACTGATTGAGCTGTGAAAATATTGACCTAGATAGACTTGCGCAATCTCTATAGGCAAGAAGTCATACCAAAAGGCTATACAGTTGGGGTCTATCACTGCCAGTACATGATTTATAGTTCTCAAACATTTTTTTAACACTTTTGAGGTTTTGTGTTGTAATGATGCCCTAAAGGTGTCGTAGTAGATCTGTAAGAAGGGCAATGACTGTGAACGTCAGCGTGTGCCACACACACCGGTGTATCGCTCTGCAGGGTGAGGGTTTTTCCTCTGATTGCACACGATTTCATCAGCAGCCCCCTCTGATTTATCCAAGTGGAAGATCCCTGTGCTGTGCTGCCAATGTAATGACTGTTACTAGTTATAGAGGAATAACGACATTCTGTTTTATTTGTCTCGTCTGAATGCCTGCACATCTCAATCGAAAGATAGAATGTCGTGAAGGTCACAAAAAGTAGCCATATTTCCATCTCTTTGTATAAAGCTCATAGGATACTCAGGGCTGGGTAGGTTACTTTCTAAATGTAATTCGTTAGTTACTACACTGAATAAAAATAAAAATGCAACATGTAAAGTGATGGTCCCATGTTTCATGAGCTGAAATAAAAATAAAAATATATTTTCCATACGCACAAAAAGCTTATTTCTCTCAAATCTTTGCACAAATTTGTTTACATCCCTGTTAGTAAGCATTTCTCCTTTGCCAAGATAATCCATCCACCTGACATGTGTGACATATCATGAAGCTGATTAAACAGCATGATCATTACACAGGTGCTACTTGTACTGGGGGACAATAAAAGGCCACTTTAAAATGTGCAGTTTTGTCAGAGAACACAATGCCACTGATGTCTCACGTTTTGAGGGCGCATGCATTTGGCATTCTGACTGCAAGATTATGTCTACCAGAGCTTTTGCCACAAAAAGTTATGTTAATTTCTCTACCATAAGCCACCTCCAACGTCATTTTAGAGAATTTGGCAGTACATCCAACCTGCCTCACAGATGCAGACCACGTGTATGGTGCCATATGGGCGAGCGGTTTGCTGATGTCAACATTGTGAACAGAGTGCCCCATGGTGGCGGTGGGGTTATGGTATGGGCAGGCATAAGATATGGGCAACGAACACAATTGCATTTTATTGATGGCATTTAGAATGCACAGAGATACTGTGATGAGGTCCTGAGGCCCATTGTCATGCCATTCATCCGCCGCCATCACCTCATATTTCAGCATGATAATTCACAGCGCCGTATCGCAAGGATCTGTTCACAATTCCTGGAAGCTCAAAATGTCCCAGTTCATCCATGGCCTGCATACTCACCAGACATGTCACCCATTGAGCATGTTCGGGATGCTCTGGATCAACGTGTATGACATTGTGTTCCAGTTCCCGCCAATATCCAGCAACTTCACACAGCCATTGAAGAGAAGTGGGACAACATTCCACAGGCCACAATCAACAGCCTGATCAACTCTATGAGAAGGAGATGTGTCGCGCTGCATGAGGCAAATGGTGGTCACACCAGATCCTGACTGGTTTTTTTATTTTTTTTAAAGGTACAGTATCTTTAGCATGTGTTTAGCTCCAGCCTGAGGACTAGTAGGGCCCAGTCTTCAAAAAGGCCTGTACATTGAAAGAGATGGGGAAAATGGTCATAAAGTAGAAAATGCATCAACCCACATTTTATAACCCTCTCATTCAGATTGTTGAAAGTGTTTATATTCTGGCAAACTCCATCAAATCAGCTTGCTTTTCAAACAAAGGCCTACTGCCCCTTGGTCTTATTTGCAGAGTGTTGTGTGATACATAGTCATTTCTACTGTATGATTAGATCCATAGCCAGAAATTTGACGAACTGACTTGCTGGAAAGGTGGCATCCTATGACAGTGCCACGTTGAAAGTCACTGAGCTCTTCAGTAAGGCATTTCTACTGCCAATGTTTGTCGATGGAGATTGCATGGCGGTGTGCTCGATTTTATACACCTGTCAGCAACGGGTGTGGCTGAAATAGCCGAATCCACTAATTTGAAGGGGTGTCCACATACGTTTGTATATATAGTGTATCTGTGACCAACAGATGCATATCTGAATTCACAGTCATATGACTGAATCTGATAATCATACAATGTAGGTGGTTATATTCCAGCCATCGTATCAGATATGCTTTGGTTTTACAGATGTAAAGATTGTGGTCCTCTGTAGCTCAGCTGGTAGAGCACGGCGCTTGTAACGCCAAGGTAGTGGGTTCTATCCCCGGGACCACCCATACACAAAAATGTATGCACGCATGACTGTAAGTCGCTTTGGATAAAAGCGTCTGCTAAATGGCATATTATTATTATTTATTATTATAATCTAGGAGTAATTGGAATAACCATGCCTGAGGCATGCCTTGGTGGCTGCCAGGTGTCAGCCTGTTGACCAGGTACCTAGTGAGTGGGCAGTGACTGACCAGGACTGGCTGGCACCCAGATAAGAATATAGGCACAGCTCTTGACAGGTAATGCTGGGAAGCAGTGGTGGTCTTTAGATTGTATTCCATGTTCACAAAGTTAAACACAAGGTAAACATGGCCCTTTGGCTGCACCCACTTTGGCTGCTATCAGTCTGGCACCAAGGCCAGGCTAATGGAGGTCTGTAGGCCAGATGAACAGCTCCTGCCTGTGGCCACTTCCCTCCACTGTCAGTGACGTGACGTGTCTGTCTGCCAGTCCCAGTCTCAGGCCAGCAGATGGATACGGCTGATGCCCCGTCTGCCACCCTACTCGATGACAGGGGGTCACGCCCCTTGCCTAAAAAGGCAAAGCAGAATGCAGCTGGTGCGGCTAGCTCTAAGAATAACTCAGGCAGGCAGGGCAGAATAGCCTGGGTTAAGGTTACCTTGAAGCCCCTGTCCCGTCCTATGCTTCCTGATCTACACCAATCATGGGCAGGGGAAACTTTTAGGCTGGATCCCGACCTCTCCACTGGCCGGCCCTGGAACTTTTTCCCTCAACTTTTTGCTCTCTTCCTGGACATAAACTGAACCTCTTCAGAGACCCTGACACTGTGACCCTTTGGTATATTTAAAATTGTTCTTCTTTAGGGAGGATTAAACATCCAGTCCAGACACCAGGTGTAATACATTTTGGTTGTGGCAGTGTTTCCTTTAGGGTCTCTTTGCATGGTTTCATCCTCTCCTTGACGATCAGGACTCAAACAGGATTAGCCCGGAGGAGCTACATGTTTTTTTTTTACCACAACTCTGTTGCTGAAATTACATATTCAAACTGCCATGACTGAGGGAGTCGAAGGTACAGTATCTACACAAGTCTAAGTATGTCTTTACATTTTACTTCCTTATTATAGGTCATTTAATTTGTTATTTTAGTTCTGCAGACAATTTGGAAGCTTCTAAAAATACTGGATATCATTTAGCATAATTGGCTATTTGCTATGCAGCCTTGAAACACTTGTGACGTCAGCACGGCTTTAAGTATCTTGCACTTAAAGTGCATAATCCACGTCCATCATCACTGTTACAGCTGAGAAAACTTTTGGGAATCAAACTGAATGATTCTGTTTTCCTTCAGTCTCACACGTCAGTTCCAATAAGAAAGATTTGAACCAACATAAGCCAGGGTGTAAAACTTATATTCAACAGTAATTAAAATAGACCTAGAAGTGAGTCAGAGTATATTTCGAGGGCACCCAGGAGAGGATAAGATCAGATCAGTGTTTTGTTGGCTGACTCATTCTGACTATATTACTGGCTCTCAATTACTGTCATGAGATTAGATGTCATGGAGAACTACTTAGGGTTCCCAAGACAGGGACGTCAACTTCAGGCAGCAAGGGGTCAGGAGACTGGTAAAGTAGATGTGTTGGAGCGTACTTTTTTTTTTTTTACAGCACAGCATATTTGCGTGGTGCATTCCATCACCATCCCCACTCCACTGCTCCTGGATTCCAGGATAATACCATTCTGTAAATACCATTTTATTTATTTATTTATTTAACCTTTATTTAACTAGGCAAGTCAGTTAAGAACAAATTCTTATTTACAATGACGGCCTACACTGGCCAAACCAGGACGATGCTGGGCCAATTGTGCACCGCCCTATGGGACTCCCAATCACGGCCGTTTGTGATTACTGTAACCCTGACAAACACACTCAAATGCACATACATAAATACACACTCACTCACCCACACTATGACACTGTACTAGTCACAGTATGTATTATATTTTGTTGAATCAAAGTGAGAAGAAGCATGGTATATGGTGTTTGTCTGCAGAGATTGAGGGACATTGGGACCCATAATCCCCCATTGCTGACAACATGGTGAAGTGACTCAACAGGTGGCCTGTGTCACGATCGTCTGAGGAAACGGACCAATACGCAGCGCGTGGAGTGAACATGATGACTTTATTAAATAAAAGCAACCACGAAAACAACAAACAAATGACGATAGTGAAGTCCTACAGTGACTATGACTGAACCTGGAACAAAAACCCACAACCCCAAGGTGAAAACACACAGTATAAATATGGCTCCCAATCAGAGATAACGAGCCGACAGCTGACACTCGTTACCTCCGATTGGGAGTCATTGACCAAACATAGAAAACAACAACCTAGACACCCAACATAGAACATAAACACATAGACTGCACACACCCTGGCTCAACAATAATGAGTCCCAGAACCAGGGTGTGACAGTACCCCCCCCTAAAGGCGCGGACTGCGACCGCGCCTCAAAACCCCCAAACAGGGGAGGGCTGGGCGGGCATACCTCCTCGGTGGCGGTTCTGGCTCCGGCCTAGACCACCACCCCACCATAGTCACTACCCGCTTACGTAGCCTCCTCCAAATGACCACCCTCCACCTTAACCCCACTAGATTAAGGGCCAGCACCGGACTAAGGGGCAGCACCAGGCTAAGGGGCAGCACCGGACTAAGGGACAGCACCGGACTAAGGGGCAGCACCTGGCTGGCTGAAGGCTCTGGCTGATCCTGTCTGGCGGAAGGCTCTGGCTGATCCTGTCTGGCGGAAGGCTCTAGCGGCTCCTGTCTGGCGGAAGGCTTTAGCGGCTCCGGTCTGGCGGACGGCTCTGAAGGCTCATGGCCGACGGGCGGCTTATGCAGCGCTTGGCAGACGGACAGTTCAGACGGCGTAGGGCAGACAGGCAGTTCAGGCCCCGTTGGGCAGACGGCAGACTCTGGCCGTCTGAGGCGCACTATAGGCCTGGTGCGTGGTGCCGGAACTGGTGGTCCCGTGCTGAGGACACGCATCTCAGGGCTAGTGCGGGGAGAAGGAACAGGCCGGACCGGGCTGGCGACGCGCACCGTCAGTTTGGTGCGAGTGGCAGGAACAGGCCGGGTCGGGCTGGCGACGCGCACCGTAGACTTGGTGCGGGTGGCAGGAACAGGCCGGACCGGGCTGGCGACGCGCACCGTCAGTTTGGTGCGAGTGGCAGGAACAGGCCGGGTCGGGCTGGCGACGCGCACCGTAGACTTGGTGCGGGTGGCAGGAACAGGCCGGGTCGGGCTGGCGACGCGCACCGTAGACTTGGTGCGGGTGGCAGGAACAGGCCGGATCGGGCTGGCGACGCGCACCGTCAGTTTGGTGCGAGTGGCAGGAACAGGCCGGACCGGGCTGGCGACGCGCACCGTAGGTTTGGTGCGAGTGGCAGGAACAGGCCGGGTCGGGCTGGCGACGTACACCGTAGGCTTAGTACGTGGAGCAGGAACTGGCCGGGCTGGGCTGGCGACGCACACCGTAGGTTCTGTGCGTGGAGCAGGAACAGGCCGGGCTGGGCTGGCGACGCACACCGTAGGTTCTGTGCGTGGAGCAGGAACAGGCCGGGCTGGGCTGGCAACGCACACCGTAAGCCTTGTGCGAGAGGCAGGAACAGGTCGGACCGGGCTGGAGACGCGCACCGTCCCTTTGGTGCGAGGGGCCGTACCAGGCCGGACCGTACTGGGGACACACACCACTGGCTCTACCCCGGGAACTGGAACGGGCCGGACCGGACTGGATACACACCTCAGTCTCTCACGCCGTGCCTCTACATCTCCTTTCCCTCCTTTAACCAGTAGCCCCCGTAACCTGGTGGCCTCTTGAATTCGCCCCTTCTCTGCCTCCGTTAGCCCCGTCGTCCAAGCCATGTGCCCCCCCCCAAAAACTTTTTGGGGTTGCCTCTCGTCCTTCCAACGATGATGGCCCTGCTGACGCCGTTGCTCCTCTCTCGCCAGGGCCTTGATCTTCCCCCAAGGTCCCTTGCCCCCGAGCATGTCCTCCCAGGACCACGATTTGCCCACCTGGGCCATCGCCAGCCTCTCGATCTCCTTACCAGGCGCTTCCTCCCATGTCCAGCTGTCTTGCTCCTGGACACGCTGCTTGGTCCTTCTATGGTGGGTTTTTCTGTCACGATCGTCTGAGGAAACGGACCAATACGCAGCGCGTGGAGTGAACATGATGACTTTATTAAATAAAAGCAACCACGAAAACAACAAACAAATGACGATAGTGAAGTCCTACAGTAACTATGACTGAACCTGGAACAAAAACCCACAACCCCAAGGTGAAAACACACAGTATAAATATGGCTCCCAATCAGAGATAACGAGCCGACAGCTGACACTCGTTACCTCCGATTGGGAGTCATTGACCAAACATAGAAAACAACAACCTAGACACCCAACATAGAACATAAACACATAGACTGCACACACCCTGGCTCAACAATAATGAGTCCCAGAACCAGGGTGTGACAGCCTGAGCCCACACTGGGCCATTCTTTCTTTCTTTCTTTCTTTCTTTCTTTCTTTCTTTCTTTCTTTCTTTCTTTCTTTCCTTTCTTTCTTCTTTCTTTCTTTCTTCTTTCTTTCTTTCTTCTTTCTTTCTTTCTTTCTTTCTTTCTTTCTTTCTTTCTTTTCTTTTCTTCTTTCTTTCTTTTTGTCTCTCTTTCACACTCAAGACATACATAAACATGAACACACACAAATCATGGGGGCTGGAGCAGCATTTCAGTCGGATACTATCTCTGTCATGGGCTGACTACGAAAACACACCAGAGACCCATGCCGCCAGCAAGAGCTTCTGTCTGATTTGCACCGACCTGATTTCACAGTATAAAAGCAGCAGATAACATTTTAGAGACTGAACACTGCATTCTAACTACTGCACCTTCACAAGAATCAATGGCTTATTCTGACCTAGTCTGCCACATTCTGGTAAATCGATGAGCAGCCTTGTAAAATGAATTCCGTACATAAAGGTCATATGCTGTGTTTGTAAGGAAGCACAACCAGCCCATCTCTCTCCATTTAACATCAAATCAAATTGCCACACTACAGAGATTTATATTCATTTAGAGAGAGAGCTCTTTGATGGCTAGGTCAAAACATCACAGAGACAACACATTCCACACAAAACATGATATGGTTTCCTTTGGCACTGTGTACCAAACAGTGTAGTCCATTCAGTGTATAGCTATTCACCTGTCAAAGACTTGTCTCCGTGCAGTCTATTCATAAACCAACCCTTCTGGGCCTTTATGGTTGGTTCAGCATCAGGCCAACAACCTATCTTTTGTCCTTTCTTCCAGCGCAATCCTTCACCACAACCATGGTCATTGAGAGCAAAAACGGGGAGGCAGGACACCCCACAGCCAGGGTGACCAAGAGGACCGTGACTGACGACCTGTACACCACCTTCAGTTCCCCTATGGCCTGGATCCTGGTCCTAGCCCTGGTCGTCACCTGGTCTTGTGTGGCCATCATCATGTTTGACCTGATGGACTACAAGGGCCTCACAGGTAGGTCCTGAACCTTTCCTTTCCTCCTATACTGTTCATACCACCATGCATTGGGATGTTACTTAGCTGTGTTAGGCTTTTGTTTTTGCTCTGAGATTCTACCTTATGCATCACAGGCCTCTGTAGGTTAGATCTAGGATTCCTTTTCCATTGTTTGGACTCATTAGGATGAAAAGGGGCAGTAGTTTATGTGATGCAACATGCATTGAGTAATCTTGGTCGTTTAGACTCTGGTTTTTAATGATTTGGATATAGATTGAAACCATTACACACTATATATACAAAAGTATGTGGACACCCCTTCAAATGAGTGGATTTGGCTATTTCAGCCACACACGTTGCTGACAGGTGTATAAAATCGAGAACACAGCCATGCAATCTCCATAGACAAACATTGGCAGTAGAATGGTCGCTCTGGATAAGAGCATCTGCTAATTGACTAAAATGTAAATGTAAATGAATGGCCTTACTGAAGAGCTCAGTGACGTTCAATGTGGCACGGTCATAGGATGCCACCTTTCCAACAAGTCAGTTCATCAAATTTCGACCCTGCTAGAGCTGCTCCGGTCAACTGTCAGTGCTGTTATTGTGAAGTGGAAACATCTAGGAGCAACAATGGCTCAGCCGCGAAGTGGTAGGCCACACAAGCTCACAGAACGGGATCGCCGATTGCTGAAGCGCGTAGCAAAACTCACTACCGAGTTCCAAACGGCCTCTGTAAGCAACGTCAGCACAATAACTGTTCGTCGGGAGCTTCATGAAATGGGTTTCCATGGACAAGCAGCCGCACACAAGCATAAAATCACCATGTGCAATGCCAAGCGACGGCTGGAGTGCAGTAAAGTTCGCCGCCATTGGACACTGGAGCAGTGGAAATGCGTTCTCTGGAGTGATGAATCACGCTTCACCATCTGGCAGTCCGACGGATGAATCTGGGTTTGGCGGATGCCAGGAGGATGCTACCTGCCCCAATGCATAGTGCCAACTGTAATGTTTGGTGGAGGAGGAATAATGGTTTGGGGCTGTTTTTCATGGTTCGGTCTATGCCCCTTAGTTCCAGTGAAGGGAAATCTTAACCCTACTGCATAAAATGACATTCTAGACGATTCTGTGCTTCCAACTTTGTGGCAACAGTTTGGGGAAGGCCCTTTCCTGTTTCAGCATGACAATGTCCCCGTGCACAAAGCGAGGTCCATACAGAAATGGTTTGCGAGCCAGGCCTAATCGCCCAACATCAGTGCCCAATCTCACTAATGCTCTTGTGGCTGAATGGAAGCAAATCCCTGCAGCAATGTTCCAACATCTAGTGCAAAGCTTTCCCAGAAGAGTGGAGGCTGTTATAGCAGCAAAGTGGGGGGGGGGGGACCAACTCCATATTAATGCCCATAATTTTAGAATGAGATGTTCGATTATCAGGTGTCCACATACTTTTGGTCATGTAGTGTAAATAGCCCCTCTTCTAAGGTTTGTTCAATAATTTAGCCTTAACCTTTAGCCTGGGTGAAACAAGTTCAAGGATAATGGCTAAAACAGACGATAAAGGAATGCAGCGAGCTCAGTGAACGTGATAAGGCCCAGTAGCTTGTTGTTTCCAGGCTGGCACTACTTTATCCAACGATGTGTGGGCTCTCAGGGTAGCCAGGAGCTCATTGGCTGGTTACTGATAGTACTGACAGTGACAAAGACAGATAGGGCGTAGCATTGCAGTTTACTGGGTCTGGGCCCTATCAGCAGCAGTTGCTGAGAGAGGGTTTGGCAGAATTAGCCATGCCTCTGTCCCAGTCAAACAGCTTATAGTCAAATAGCCAAATAGATTTACTGATAGATTAGTTTTGAGATGCATCACATCAGTCAGTAGGGATGTTATTGTATCATAGAATTATGATTGATATAGTTCATTACAACTGTTGCAGACATAATGGTGAAATGCTCTGTAGAGTGAATGTATAATGTACTGTATTCTTTAAAGTTGTTTTCAGTGTGATTTTGTGGTTTAAAAATAAAGTTGTACAATGACAATTTTCAGTGTTTGAGAGTTTGGTGTTTGCTGATGAGGATCAGTATGTGAGATAAATTGTCATTGTGTACATGGATTCTTTATCCATTTTCATATTTTCATGTCAAAAGCCATTCACATTTACATTTCATTTCATGTAAAAGGTCTTCCATTGAAGACCTTGCACATACATTTTTGAAGCAAACTTCAAAAGTGGGCACCATTGTCACGTACTGTAGATCTGATTAACTCACAAGTCACAATAGTAATTGAAGGCTGATACTCTGGGGGCCTGGAGTCTAGTCTACCTACCCCAAGTCATTCTTCACAGAAATCACATGAACCTCACTCCCTTTAGTTATTCACTAGAGTTCCGTAGCTACGTTCACTCTCTCATTTCTAATCTAGTTTCCTCCTCCTCTTTTCACCCTGTCCATCCCCATGTGTCATCCTGTTGCCATCCAATAAAAAGATCATACATTATACTGTGACGACCCCTGTTTGCCACCTGGTAAAGACTCTCTGCCTGCAGTGTAGTGCTCATACCCATCTGTGTGTTTGCTTCCGCTCTGCTACTAACAACCTGCATGCTTTAATTGCTGATAGGGAGCAATTGTCACACACTTCAGTCAGTGTTGTGTTGGCTTGATGCTACGCAATAATGGATTCATGTACACATGGTCCATCAAGTGTTGCCTCTAGATCATTCAAGGTTGCACAGGTTACATCTGGTACTAAGAGAGTCTGTATACCTTTTTCACACTATTTGATTATCAAAATTGAAGTGGGCTATTTTGCCTATTGAAACTCATGTTAATACATAGATACAGTGTCTCCATTCTGATGGCAACTCTGATGCCAGCCATAATGGTACATATATTCATAAAGTCAACCATAATCTCCCTATATGAATAGTTTAGGACTATAGCTTTCATGATAAATCATTCACAGAACTAACGTATTGCTGCTTTATGATTTAAAAGGTATACAGCCCATTTAGTAGTCACTTGTTCTGTCATTTAACTAGCTACTATTTACCTTTCTGTTTGTTTGTAGTTTAACAAAACGTACCATAATAACACCGTAGTGTGCAACGCTGTAGTGTCTAACATCCAAGTAACATTCATTACAAGAAATGTCTTTGTGTGTGTGTGTGTCCATGTGTGTGTCCATGTGTATTTTCAGTCATTACTTGATTTCCAGTGAAATGTGTTTAGTGTATGAAGTGCTCATTTGTGATAAATGTGCTGTAGCTAACTGTACTATTTTAAGGAATCAATCTGCAGCAGCCTATATCATTTTACCAATTATTACATAACCATACAGCTTTAGAATGTATCGAGGCTATATCACAGTACGTACTAGAATGGTTTGTGCCCGGTAAAGCTGTTCTGGAAAGCCCAAGTCCCTTATTGAAGGTGCTATTCAATAGAAAGCTGTAAAGAATGGCTTCAATCGCTGAAGCTCAACAATGCAACAATTTGAGTGTTGCATGTTTTTTTGTGCGCTTACATAATAGAGCAAAATAGGTCACCACGATTACAGGAAAAATAACCATTACATTCACCTGAAATCAGTGCTTGACTTGGACTGAAATAGATGCAGGTACTCATTTTGGGTGCTGGTACCATTTATATTTAGTTGCAGGAACTCCTCTATATTTTGGAGCTAATATTCTATAAGAGGTGCAGGAACTCAAGCAGAAGAACATTTGAGGTGCCAGTACTCAGTTCAGGTGAGCTCCTGCCCAAGTCAAGTACTGCCTGAAATCACTATTATATTACTGCCAGGTAGTCAGACATTAGCTTTTCAGTCTGATTTATTTGACAGTGTTATTTAGCTTGGCAACATTATCCCAATTAATTGTGTGCCAATCGCTCCCATGCATCTGGCCTATGATAACTTTAGTTGCCTTTCCCGTCTCAATTTATACACAATTGCCTTGATGCTAACATCAATAATGGCACGTTGAGAGCATATCAGCTTGTGTTGGTGTTATTAACTGTGTGGTATTGAATAATAACTCCATGCAGAATGCCTTTCTCTTTGATTGAGTGCTGCTTTTGAGAAGGATACACCAATCTGACGTGCTTTAATATATATAATTGAATATTCTATGTTGCAGATAAGCCTGCAAGAAGAGATATATATTTCCTCTACAATGCATACTACTGAGCATTGAATGTGGCCAATACCGAAAGTCATCTACGGAGGAATGACCTCCTGACCTCCTGAACCATTCCACATGAAATCATGGGAAGGAATTGACGCTGTGGCCATTTCTATCACAGCCTCTCAGCCGTGTCATAACAATACAAGAGTCTTTATTAGGTGTAGAAGTCAGACTGTAGCTAAACTATACCCTAAACCAATGTATTAAAAAGTAGACATATTAATTGAAAGCAAAGGGACTGGGGTCAAACATCCCTAAATTAGATTAGGAAAAGGGGGGTTATGGTTAGCTAAGAAAATCCCAGGGGATACTGTATGGCACCAGGACAACACACGTGGAATGGGAGAGTGATAATCACCCCACAAAACCATGGCACCATGGATAAACCCTTGACAGGAAAAAGAGGAGATGTGTACATGTTAGTCAATTACTAGAGGACCAAAAAGAACAAACACGTACAGTATAATGTAAATCTAAATACCCGTATGATATAAATCTTATATAAGGAAATGGCCTTTGAAGCCACAGTCTTTGAGGACAATGTGTTATCTGCACCACAGTAAATGTATGTAACCAACCTGTATCTTAAAAATATATCAATTATCTATCAGGAATCAATCTGTTCCAATGTAAAGGGTTGGGAATTGATTTGTAAGACCATACAGTAATACCGAAAGCAAATCTTTGCTTTTAAGAATCGGGTAGCTATATATAGCACTAGGTCTCCTGTAGGATACTGTGCAGTATCACTCCATCTCTCTCTATGCGGGATGGCTGTGTTTTGCTGGATGCCCTCTCTTAGACTGCCCCTCTCTGTTCATTTGAACCCCTCGCTGTCAGAAAGGAGACTGCCAGAGACAGTGGAATTTACGGGAATAGCTAGGAGTACCTGTCACTCATCATTTCATACCAAATATTTCTAGTACTGGACCCAAGTGGATATCCAACATAGAGTTTTGGAATTTGTATTATTAAATGTTTTTGTATTTTTGAAGACAGTGGTTAGTGACAGCATGTACAAAAGATCCAAAACAGATGTCTTATTTCCTCCCCCTTTCATCCCCATACCCATGAAATACTTTATATTTTGGACACATAAAGAGATACAGTAACAGAGAAAATGCTAAATGATTTCAACAAGGTCACAAACTAATAGATGTGTGAAACAAAAGGCTGTGTGCCCTGAGAAATTGGAAAATTAGAAATAACAAACCTGCCCATTACACAACCATTTAGTTGGACAGCAAATGGGTATTAAAAATTGCACTTTTAATAAGATGCCATTTTTCCCACCATGACATTTCAATAAAGGGCGACACTGTGCAAATTAAATACTAAACCAACATTTTGGAATGATGGACAGTGTTGGCTGTGAGGAAATGGAATTCCCCTTGATGTGCACTGCATAGCCTGGGAGCCATCCAATTGGAGTTGAACCAATTCTACTGCCATGCCTCCATTGCTTCCCGTTAGAGAGAGGGGGGTAGGGGGAGAGGTAGAGAAAGAGAGGCAGGAGAGGAGAGGGAGAGCGAGAGGGAGGAGAGTGAGAGAGAGAGGGGGGAGAGGGAGAGAGAGAGGGAGGAGAGTGGGAGAGATGGAGGGAAAACAGCGCTTTGATTAGCTCCTTCAACTTCCTGCTAAAGAGGGAGACCTGCAAACTGGAGCCTGACGGACGTTGTGTCAGAGACCTCCTGAATACAGGAATGATTGTCCCTGTGAATGTGTTGCCAAGTGACATGATGCTAGTTATTAAGCCACCCACACTTCACTGGTTTCTCTAAACTAAAGCCTCCAAAGTGTTTTGGAACGATCTACAGATCCTTCCCATAATGAGGGACTTCGTTTGGATGGTTGATTCCCTTGCCATCTTTACCACTTCTTTCAGGTTAATATGTCATTTATTTCTATGTATTTAGTTGCAGTCACCATGCCAGGAATCAGTGTAGATAGAGGACAATGTGTGGGGTTCAAATGCACAAGCATTGAGGCATGTATTTTATCTGCTTCATGACGTAGGTTGAAGTGCCAATCAAACAAATGTCACTGAATTAATCAGTATTTCATTAGTATTCCTAGTTGGAGTCAATTTCACATTGTTACTCAATGTCATGAATTTTGATTTGCTGCTTCAAATCATGCAAAACACAGCAGTGTGTTATTGCACATTCTTTATTGGAACAAATGAATCAAATCAATGAGAATACATTTCAAATAAAAACATGTCAAGCACAGAGGAAGAACTGTTGTTATAGCAGATTCAATAAAGAGTGAAAGACATACTGTGTTTGTTATAGTTACAGCACAGCATGTTGCTGTTCTGTCCCGTTTCTCACTCCTACTGCATTATAAATGTTTACTGTTTGTATGTTGATGTGTTCTCTACACCACGGCCATGCCGATCTTTGTTTCCATTGTGATGAACGTCTATGTGATGACGTCGAGTTCTTCTGTCACCATACTGTGGTTGTGAATCGTGAGTAATTGTGTCTCTGTGCCATTGTTTCTTGTGGTAAGACTGTCCGTTTCCTCCTCCCAGAATGCATCACTCTGGAGTCTGTTCTTCTCCCCAGATTGCTAAAGTGCATGTGATGGAGACTGTTCACTGTCCCTGTCCCCGTGCCACTGCTTACGTACCTCTCCTCCTAACAGGGGTCTCCCCACCTCCCGCTGTCAGGAAAGCAATTAAGGATGCAGGGAGGTCTAGAGGCAAGCCATCATGCTACGCTTTTAACTTTGTCGTGCTGATTAGAGGCCTCTGAGGCCCTTAGTGAGTTTGCGTTGACATACTGTAGCAACTAACTTTAAAGGAGTAGATAAAATGAATTAATTTTTTACAAAAATAAAGATAATACAATTGATTATAAACTACTAATATAGCAAGTAATTAGTCCATTAACTCATGTTATGATAAATACCTTTGGATACCTTTGATATAAGCCTTTAGATATTGTCTTTAGCAGAAACATCTATTTGTTCAGAATTGCATAGAAAATTAATTCCCACGTGAATATTTTCAATTAAGGAACCAAAATGTCCTTTGTTGGATTTGGCTATATCAACCGTGTTTCCTTAACCCACTCAGTCTAATTCAACACTTCTATAGATTAAATAACTAAGAATCACTCCCTTCTGAATATCAGTAATACTGCTTTGATAATTGATCACTAAAGAGCACTGAAGAGTCTAAAGAGCAATCTCTAAAGACTAGTCAGTCATATTCTGCTGACAGTTGTCACTAACACAGTTCTGGGGTACACTACTCTGGCAGCGGTGTCTGACATGTCCTGTAGTATGTAGCATGTTTACCTGTCATGGATGCCTATTGCCTTCTGTGTGTCTCTGCCTATGACGAAATGGAAATGTCTGTCTCATGCGGTTTGCCTGCACTGCACGGCAGACAAACAAACAGGTGGTAGTCTACACAGTATATACTCCAGCAGACATTTGAAGTTACCCATTGGACCATGGATGGACAGAGAATATTTTATGCTACATCACATTGGTTATAGTTGATTAGTTCCAAGCTATTGTTAATAGTCATGTACACATTCATCTTCATATCTATAGTCTATATTGCTGAATTTGTTTCTGGGTATAAATTCCGTTGGTGTGATTTGCTTGTTCTCATATTGTTCTCTAAGTGCAGAACATTTGAACGGTGTGCAGTTTGATTGCATTTGAAAGATTAAGGACAGCATATTGTCAAATTAATGTTTCTATTGTGTATAATATAATGCAGTGGTAATTAATTAAGTGTTCCTTAAGTCTTTTAGTTCAGTCTTTAGAGTGTTTAGAGAAAGGGTGTGTGTAAATGCATGCTGGCTATATTATGCGGGGTCTTGGCTCACACAGCCTGTTCACCACACTCTCAGGAAGCATTCAGCATATCAGCTCGGACCCCATGAAAGTGGTGAACGAGGCGGTGGAGGAGTCCACTGACTGGGGCAAACTGCTTCTGACCTTTGTCTCCAGCCTGGTAGCACCCGAGGAGGAGGAAATTGAAGGTATATTTCACAAGATGTCCCTTGAGCTACCCTAATAATAGATGAAACAACAGCAACAACAGTAACAAAATAAACAACACACCATGGTATTTCTAAAAGACAAAATGGGCTAACCCCCTGTGGTTTGACGAGTCACCTGGCAGGTCTTGCCTCATTCAACTTCAAGCTGTTTGATTTATACCATTTATCTCCCCCATTTCACCTATATAGGTTCACATATATTCACAGTTAATGGCTCTGCTGTAATAATTCAGCCCCTAAATCTATATGGTTTAAGGTGTGATGCAGGATAAGTCTGGCAGATTGAGAACCTGTGAACCATAGCGCAGATTCTTTCCAAGGCTTTTGGTCTAATAAACACTCTACACACTACTGTATATACCACAGTGTGATGAAAGGTGGTCCATACATAACAACCTGACACTGTTTATCATGTCTCATATTACATGCACCAAGTCCATCTGTACAGGCTAATAATAGAAAACTAGGAGGTGCCATTCATTCACATTCCGAACTCCAAACTAAAGAACGGGACACTGTTTTCCAGCCTTTCACACAGAAGAATTTTGAAGCGGAAGAACAAGGCTCTCGACCTGCAGCGTGATACCGATAACTCCTGTACCACATTTGTGTGTGACTGTTCTAAAAAAGAAAATAAAGTCAACTAAAGAAAGCACAAATCACCTCTCTCGCTCATCAATCCCTTGCTTTTGTCTTTTCACCACCCACTGTGCTCACCATGCTCACTCTCATGTGCAGCTCTCATCTCCAAGCTTGCTCCACACCATCCTTTTCAACATTATACTCAGCAGTTCATGTTATGTCTTTCACAACAACATCAGCACAATGTTAGCTAAAGAATATCTGATAGCTAATCTCAATTCCTTAGTTTAGCCTGAGATTCAGCTGGGTATTAAATGCATTTTTACCAGCCTAATTGAAACAGGAAGGTAACTTGATATCAAGTATTCCTTTTCAATGATGACCTAGCGATTTACCACCTTTTATAAGAGGAGCTCTAAGCATACCACAGTGTGGAGAACAACTACTGTACTACAGTTCAGTTACAAACTTCCTGCTGAACAGTAATGATTTGAGGCAGAGAAGTGAACGCACATCAGTGTGATTTGGCAAAGCAAATGTATTATGTCAATTTAGCAGCAGCACCACACATACAGTAGGCCTACAGCAGCCATAATTGAATTACCGTACAGAATATTAATGTAAGCAAATCAATTTCCCTTACATTTGGCTGATAGCTTTGTTGTGCAGTAAAGGGAATGCAGAGGAGGAGCACTGATTTCAGTCCCAATGAAGAAACCAATGTAGTTTTAATATGAACACACACATGACATTAGAGCTGGGGTGAATCAATTCAAACATATACAGATGGATTAACTTTATAGTTCACATCCAGGCAGCTGCTGATTTATTAGTGTTCTTTTTATAAAACATACCATGTGCCTTTCATTATCAGGATACACACACTGTTGTTAGGTAACTTCCATAAGGACGGTATTTCAGATGATAGTATTATGCCATCTGGGGATCAACAGTACCTATGGCCTTAGAGAAGTGACTTTCTGCCTAGCTCTATAGAGTGAATTAAAATGTAAAAGGCACAGTAGGTATTGGGTAAAAACATGTATTATGAAACAAGCATATTATGCACATTTTAGTTAACAATACAACATTCATATACTGTATTGTATACACTCAGTATGATAGTATGGACATTCCTCCAAATACCTACCTTATCATCCAAAGGTATTTGTCAGACAGACTAAAGTTTATGCGTATATTAACTGACCCCACTGCATCCCTCCTTGCCTCAGTCATTTCGCACACACACGTAACAGTAACAGTAACCTCTGCTCCCTGTTAAATGATGGAGAGAGTGAGTCGGTGGAGGGGTGGAGCTGTAAGACAACGGGAGATGATAGAGAAAGATAGAAAGCAAGAGGGAATGGCTGGCCCACAATGGCTATGCATAGCTCAGTGGACTAAATGCAGATAGATGCTGACCTGCCTGGCGGTTTGACAGCTGTCTGTGAGTTACGACTCAAAGGGCAGACACTATTTCTGTCTCATTTTAGAGTAGCTACTCTAAAACAGGGACACTGTAGCCTGCCCACTCTAACCACTCATAGGGCACACTATAGTTTGCAGGATATGACACCAAAGCAATGCCACCTTCCTAACAGAGAATCATAGCACTAAATAACAAATGCTTAAATCAATTTCTTCCCTGGCCTCAGGATAAGCTAAATATTATTTGTTGCTTTAATTTATTTATACAACCTGGTAACTTTATCCCTCAGGCTAATGTGCTTTGAAATGAGCTATATCTCAAACACATCCCCAAACATCAAACACACCCTGGAGAATGAACATTTCCCTCTCTCACTTAACTTCTGAGAGAAAAAATGTAACCTTAATGTGAATATCTGCTATTCATATCTAGTACCGGTTTAGCACAAACGAGATTGGTGTATTTTCAAATCTTCTTTGAAGAATGGCTGACTCGTCCAATCATTTCACTAAATCCACCTTTGCTCTGAGATGCATAGTAAACAAATGTAGCCTACTAGCTGTTGTTGCTGTTGTTGTGCTGCCTTTCATTGAGTTGACTTATACTCCTTAGTGATTTTTAAGAGTTGAGAATAAGCTGCCTGCAGCTGAAGAAGAACCTTTCTCCCGTTCTGATCCACATTCATAATTTATTCTGCCTTCATCAATGTTTCACTAGATCTATTTTGTTGGTTCCTTTCTTAAGCTGACATATTTTTTGCCCATCTGCTATTTAGGTGAGCTACATCCGGTTAAGAAAAAAGGTTTGTATTCATGCATCTATTAATTTAGCTGTTTACTTATTCATCAATGTATTAGAAAAGCTGTCTCCTTCATGCTCTTTATGCCACAGCTGTTAGGGAAAGGAAAACACCTCTTTGTCGAGAAATGCTTCCTGGCTATAGCGCTATTGTCAGTCAATGTGAATGCTAGCTCTTCTGCTTGCTACTCTACATCCTGTTTCCTTAAATGACTGATACACAGCTACAGGTTATTGTGAGGACGTGGGCTTGGCTTTAGAGTTTAGCAGGCATCCACATGACCTGAGATAACAAAATTCACTTATCCAGCCACTAATGACGCTTTAGAAGTGAAAGCCTTGTATCTTTCAGCAAGAGCTTAGACGTGCTGCACACTTAGTCACTCCAAACCTGCTGCTGAAATGCAGGGTCACTGCATGGAGTCAGACCTACAAGACCTACACCATTTGTAATCTGCTGTACAGATGTAGGATCTTAATTTGATCGCCCTGTTGCAGGAGAACTTTACTGCAATGCAGGACATTTAAAATGTGTAGTGTATTTGTGGTTTAAAAAGGCTTCTGAAGTTTGTAATTTCCATTTCCCTTAAGAAAAATGTGTCAACCCCTACAAAAATGTCCATGAATTATAATTCACATTTCCGGTTGCTGCAGGATTATTTTCCTGCTGTAGCAAACTGGCTCATATTAAGATCCGACATTTGTAGGTTAAGGTGTCTAGCGCATTCTAGCATGCCAGAGACCCTAACAGAATGACCTGATAATGTAGGCCTAAATCTTTCTTAACACACTGCTCTCTATTCCTCTAGATGGCATTTTGAAACCACTCCACCGCTTATTTTTCCACCGCTTATCTAGACTATGCAATTTCCTTCACACTCTTCAGAAGCCCTCACATCATCGACAGAACACATAAGCAAAATAAAACCTTGACTTGAATTCTGCTTGTTTTAGTTTTTTATGACCTAATCAAATTTGAACATTTCAACATTGATTAATGTAGGTTAGCTGTTCCAGGTTTTAGGACTTGAAAATATTATACAGGCTGAGGTATACTCCTGAGTGGCGCAGTGGTCTAAGGCACTGCATCGCAGTGCTAACTGTGCCACTAGAGATCCTGGTTCGAATCCAGGCTCTGTCGCAGCCGGTTGTGACCGGGAGACTCATGTGCGGCGCACAATTGGTCCAGGGTAGGGGAGGGAATGGCCGGCAGGGATGTAGCTCAGTTGATAGAGCATGGCGTTTGCAACGCCAGGGTTGTGGGTTCGATTCCCACGGGGGGGCTGTATAAAAAAATATGTATTCACTAACTGTAAGTCGCTCTGGATAAGAGCGTCTGCTAAATGACAAAAATGTTAATGGGGGTTGATTTTTTGGAGTGTGAGACCATTTTGTGGATGTTCACCTTGGTACTTAACTGTAAAACCGTCCCAAAAGATATACTGTACGATGGTTCGTTGAAGAGGAACATGCTGAGGATGAAGGTACCATGGCCATGCTTTCCATGTTTATGGGTAAACATAGATGTTTACTATATCTAAACTACATTAGATCTAATGTAGTTCAACTAGAATGACAATGTAACAAATACACAAACTGGTAAGCACACTCAATGGTTATCACTCTAATCATGCTATTGTGCAGTGCTAACAAATAGTTTTGTTGTTTTGTAGCTTTGCTAAAATGCTCACTTTTCCTCCACATAACCATCGTATTAGCTTGGCTACTTACAGTACTTTAATTCGTATCCATAGTCACACATTGTGTACTTGTCAAGGAACGTGGATCGTGTTTTAATTACTTTTTGTGTTCTAACCTCTTGCTGCTGAAATCACCTTCCTTCCTACCTCATAGCTGCATTCATACCATCCAGAAAACAAGGTTTGTGCCCTCCTGTTCTTAATATGATGTTAATATTGAAAACTAATTTGTCAGGAAATAACATTAGGCATGTTATGATGATTGATACATATTTTTGATGGGAGTGAGGCATTTTGCTGCATGTTGTCTGTAAGTGGTAATTTGCGCTGTTGGCAAATGGGTGTTATCCTGTCAATAATTGCTATATAATGTGATATTACTAGCCTGTACCTGTGCGTGATTGCTTGCTCAATTTGTTCCCAGACACCGTAATTATACTTCCAGAAGCTACTATAGACAACTTGTCCAGTAGCCTTAATTAATGATCAGTATAATACATGGTCATTACATGCCTTCTGGATGTTGATGTTGTAGTGGGAAAAAATATAATAGTACAATAAAATTCAGTGAATACACATTTCAACTGCCGTAGTCGATTGCAGCTGTTAAATAGACCACTACAGTTTATCTCAACATATCTTATTATTTGGTAGTACTATGGTACAAACACTATTAATTAAGAACACAGCTAATTTGTATGAGCATAAATTCACCAATATTGCATCTTGTAAACATGTGTTTCCATGTGTATACTGCCCTGCAAACAATAATGAGTCTTTAGGAATTCCCGGAACATCATGAAATGGTCGCCTGAAGTCGCCACGACGACGTTGTGTCATGGTCCTGTGGAGGTTTTATCTTGTTCCCGGTTTGTTCCTGGCACATCCCCAAGGACGATTTTAGGATGTTCTCGGGATGTTGTGCCATGGTCCTGCGGAGGTTTTGTCTAGTTTGCGGTTTGTTCCGGGGACGTCCCCAATGATGTTTATAGGACGTTCTTAGAACATTTTGTCATGGTCCCCTGGATGTTTTTGTGTAGTACCTGGTTTGTTCCGGGGATGTCCCCAAGTACGTTTATATGACGCTCTTAGAATGTTCTGTCATGGTTCCCAGGATGTTTTCTTCTAGTACCCAGTTTTTCCGTGGATG